TTCTGGTTTTATGCTTTTTCATGTCGGAACTCCTTTCAAATGAATTCTAGTTTTGTACTTTTTCATACAAGAACTCCCTGCAAATGTGTTCTGGTTCGTCATTTTGAATTTTTTTAATGTTTTCTTTTGCAGTGGCGCGAACACGAGGAAGTAAGATTCTAGATCATGGTTTAGAATGGGGCACTTCATCGAGGTTTGCTAGTGAGGAAGAGCATATTGGTGCATCTACATCCGCAGCACAACCGGTTGGCTTTCTAGTAGGGTCGTACGATATGTCTCTTTTGGTTAAGTGTGAGCAGCATATTGCTAGACATGTATGATTTGGTGAGGTAAGTATACGATATGTATTCGATATTGAATAATATTTGAATTTTAAATGTTGTGTTTTATAATGTGTGTACTTCTAATTCATTTCACATATCGTTTGGTGAGACGAGCATTACTCTGGATGACGTCTCTTGTTCTGGCCCCCTCATGATATCATTGAAGTGGTTGTTGTTGGATTTGATGTTGATTACTTAGGAGTGTCACATAATAGGGCACAAGAACAAGTTTGTCACTGCAGGAGTTCTACTATAAGTTGGAGTGGTTAAACGCTTTATTCAAATAGCATAGAGCTGCTCCTAGATGGGCATGTGCAACTAGAGCATATTTGCTAATGTTGGTGGGTTCCATAATTTTTGCCAACAAGACCTTTATGCTTGTCGAAGCACGATACATCTTATTATTTACGGACTTGGATAGATTATCGGGATACATTTGGGGAGCTGCTGTGTTGGTTACCCTTTATAGACATCTCGGAGATGCTTCTATGTTTAGTTGCAAGCAGCTCGATGTTATCCTACTCTCCTACAGGTCTTTATTTTAATTTAGTTTATTATGTTTTAACTAACTTTATTTAGTATATTAATTTTATTTATTTATTTTATTATTTTATAATTAATTTTATTTAGTTAATTAATAGTATTAATTTTGTAATAGTGCTGAACTCACGAGTATTTCCAACGCTTGGAAAAAGAGGAGAGAATTTGATACCAGCTAATAATTGTGGTCTTTCTCGAGCGATGAGATGGTACTATAAGCAAGGAGACCTGAAGGTGGATGACTTGCGGCCTATTTTGGATGAGTTGACACCTGCCGACGTCATATGTCGCCCATTCGAGGATCATAGAGTATGGCGTCAATTTGACGAGTTATGTTTGTACAGGGGGTGTCTGAAATGGGGTGATACAGTTGTTCCAAACTGGCCTGATAGATGTATACGTCAGTTTGGATACAGGCAGTATATTCCACCCTCACCTCTTGATTATATGATGACTGATGATATTGATGTTGAGTGAATTGGTTACCATCAGAGCGTCCTTCCGTCCGACAGCACTGGCCACCACCCCATCTGAGACAGGTCATGGATATCTTGAGTGGTATTATCGTGTTTCGCATCATCGTTTGGTATCGTCCCCTCATGATGCACCAAGAGAGGTGGCAGTTCCTGTTTACGATGCAGGACCATCTGATTTTAGTTGGGCTCGTGTTTCTACATTGATTCATTGTTATCTCCGACAGGTTGATGCTGAAGAGGATGATCCATAATTTGCTGAGTTATTTGAAGCTTTACTTATTTCTCGTTCACATTGACTTATGTTTATGTTTAGGTTTATGTTTATGCATTAACTATTAGACTTATTAACTTATGTTTATGCTTATGTGTTAACTTTTAGACTTATTAACCTGGTTGGGATATGTTTATGTTTTTTCATTTGTATTAACTATTAGACTTATGTTTAATTTTGAATCCAGTTATGTGTTATTAAGACATATAAAATTAAAATTGAATGACATTATTCATTATTCATGTTTTTATTACATATTCATGTAAATATAGGCATAAGTTGTTGCCGATGTTGTAGACATCCTGCAAATCCTAGCATCCAAGATGTTTCTATTGGAGAACGAAACTTCATCTGATCTAATGTGACTGGTGGCTATTGAAACCCTTCTTTCATGTTTACCTGAATAAAATAAACAATAAAAACATTAAGTCATATGTTTAATAAATTAAACTAAATAAATTTAGTCACATATTAACTATAAATAACTAATTACATGAACCCAATGTCATTTTTCCAACAACATCTAGTGACCTAAACCTTTTTCATAATTCATCTATTGCACTACTCATATCCACCTCTCAATAACTCTTCAACAACGCATCTCAAAACAGCTCGAGACATTAAACCACATAAATTACTGTAAAATGGACTTACGCGCGCGTGCTCAACATCATAAAAACTTTTTTAAAAAGAAGCTCTAATGTTGCCCTGTTGTAACTTTAAGTTGTTATTCATAGCCTCCCAACATTTGAACATGTCACATATATTGTTCCTCAATATCTGCTTTAACTTCCAATGAGCAGACTCAACCCTAAAAATAATGCATATTAAAAATACTTTTAAAAAATACAAATAAAAAATATACAATTTAAAAATACTAAAAACAAATACATAGTAAAAAATATTAATAAAAAAATGCATATCGATTAGTCGTGGTCTTACCCAAATGTAGCACTCGATTAATCAATGCTCCAACAAATCTCTATTTATGTGGTGTCAACCATGTGTCTTTCACATAATCAATAAATTCATTATGATCAACACACACCTGCTCAAGTTATTGCAACAGTTGATCATACTCAACCTCATCACTAGTCCATACAACTTTCCCCCATTATGTGTCGATCGTCTTTTGCATGTCACTAACCACATATTGCTTGTATTTTGCACCAACATTTTTGTTAATGTGAAATCGACATAGCCAATTGATCGACCTTGGAAATACAGTGTCAATTGCTTTCATCAAAGTAAGATCTCTATCTGTCAAAATCACTTGTGGACACAAATCTTTCTTCACGAATAATTGTTTAAGCTTATCTAACATCCAACAAAAAGTTTCAGTCTGCTCAGACTCCATATACGCAAATGCGACAACAAAAGTCAACTCGGTTGTTGTCATGCCAACAATTTCAAGTAGAGGTTGTCTATATTTGTTTGTCTTGTAGGTGTTGTCCATAACTAACACAATAGAAAAAATATTCAACAACTTAATTGAATTCGGATGGGTCCAAAATACATCTCTAATAACTTCTGAGTGATCTCTTTTATACTCCAATAAATATAACTTGCGTCCTCAATAATCTTAAACAAATATTGTATCTCACTTCTAGGACCTCTTATCTTTTTTTCTATCATACTTTTATGCTTATACATTTGCGTGACCCAAGTGACATTCTCTGGATCTCGCTCTTTCAAGAAAAGTATGTCTAGATAGAATGTCTCTTTGTCAAACCAACAATATGTTTCTTCTGATTTGTGGTCAACCTACCAACAAAGGATTGACCTTCTAATCTATCGGGTAGGGCATGGTTATGAACTCCACATTTTACATCAACCTTCCATCCAGATCCATCTTTCACAGGAGTCGACCTGATTTTAAATGGACACACATTTTTTCGTCGCACTTTGGATTCCACTATCATTTGTATTTCTCACATTTATCACAACCAAATATTAATTTGTTCTTCCTCTTTTGTCTGTTTCAGTATCTGAACGAGTGATAATAACAGTTATTTTATTTGGATTTCAACCTCTTTAATCCACCTTATCACCTCTTCTCGTATACCAAATCTTTGAGTAGTTGAAAAAACATCAAAAGTATCTACACATATTTGATTTTTATCGCATATTTTCGGAGGAATTTCCATACCTCTAGTATAAAAAAAATATTAAAAAAATACATTTAAAAAAGCAAACCAGAAGTCTTGCTAAAAGTATTTTGGTACACAAAATTTACAAACCGGTCCAACTTGCTAAACGTGTTCTGATACACAATAAACAAATCAGACAATTTGTAAAAAGTATTCCGATACAGTTCATGTTTGTGTTCCAATAGTAGAACTCTTTTGGTTAAACTTCTACTACATATTTTGTGATAAACCGAAACTTTCTAATAGAGTTTTTCAAAAAAGAAATGTAACATTCTGGATGACATGATGAAAGTCTTTCGATGCAATTTTAATTGGATACAATTTTCAAAAGCCTTTCAATGCAATTCTAATTGGATACAATTTTCAAAAGTCTGATAAAAATAATAAAAAATAAAAAATAAAATAATTAAAAATAAATAAGTATAAAATTGATATCTTTAACATAGGTATATCAGTATAACACTGTAAAACTCATACTAACTTTTTAAATATCCATTCAAATCGCATATTTCCTCCCATTTCTGAATTTTTTTAAATCGGACTTTTTGTTATAACTACCAAATTTTTTTATTTTTACAGCTGCTTCTTTTGACCAAATATAATTTTGGATAAATGAGGCTAAAAGATAGGGGTGGCAAATTCGTGGTATTAGTATGGCATGGTCTAATGACGAAAACAATAAATAATTTAATCTTCACGTTATCCTTACATGATAACCACAATCTTGCTACTATAGTTACTCTGACCACTGTTAATATTTGTCTTACAATGCTACCTATACAAAAAGTATATTATAAAAGAAAGCCTCGCAATAGACTCTGGATTTTGCCACTTCGCAATAAATACAATTCTAAATAAATAAATAAACTCAATAGCCATCCACAGTTGAAATTGTTTAGTAGAATTTTGCATTACAATCCTTTCATTATAAGCATTTTCCTTTAAATTAATGTCCCCTCAGATTTGTAGTTTCCAATAGTTGAGTCACAAAATATACAGATGTAACAAACTAACAGTAGCCCTTCTCTCAACCACATTAGGAAGACAAAATCCCCAGCCCTGGGAAAGATAAAAAAATATATCAGACTTTACAAGAGGACAACTAGAACAATCGCCAATGAAATCATATTTCCGCAGACAGATTCAAGATCAAGTAGCAGCATTTTGTAAAAGGCTCAAGTCCAAGTTAGATAGGCAGGCATCTGGGCAAGTATTTCTAGACTTGGAGCTGCATCTACAACTAGACTTGAGCAATATCAAGAACTTCTTCAGGCTCGTATTCTGTTGCTGAGATTAAGGAAGCAGACTGAATCTTTCCAGCATGATCAAGTCTCATCAAAATAACTCCCCTGACCAAAATTCCACAAACAAAATAGTTGTTAAAGACGTAAAAAGTAGTAGGTATCCAGGACACTTGTCATAAGCATTTAGCTATAATGACTCAAATCAAATAAGCAAGAAATATGTGAATGGGGCACAAGTCAAATTTACCTTGCAAATCGAGATTGAATCGAAATATCCCGAACTTTAATCCTGTTGACTGTACCACTTTGGCTAACAAGAACCACTTGTTCATCACTTTCACCATCCTCTGTAGAGACGATGGTTTTTTATAATTAAATAATCTTCAAGTAAGCAGTAAATCAGTACTTCTAAAGGTTCAGGTACAACAATGGCAAACCAGCGATAATTAAATAGCTATAGCTAATTTTACATAAAACATGAAGTAATTAATTAACATAAATATTCAGAAATTAAGACATTAAATAAACATAAGATAATCATTTATGTTATGTAAGATGAATAAATAATAAAAGTAATTAATCATATATTTCAAGTTTAACCAACTGTACTATCTAGACTAGTCCAGTCCAATTTTTAAAACAATGATCGGAACTACAATTAAACAAAGTTAGTTTGAGAGAATACCACCTGCTAATGCGAATCCTACTACAAATACAGCGGCCAGACAGTCCTCATCAGAAAACTGAAACACAGACCAGAAAGAGAACATATTATTGAATGAACAGTTTATTATTGTCAAGAGTCATTGCTGTGAAAGGTGAAAAATACCTTGTATCCAATCAGACCAACTCGATTCAAAGATGACATTCGAAAACGGCTTAAAGGAACCCGCTTTCCATAACCACTCTCGGAAATAAACAACAGCCATGGGCCATCGTGACTCTTTCCACTGTGAGCATATAGTAAATAAATATGTTAAGGACAAAGGTGATCAGTTATTCCCAACTAGCATTAAAATGACAATTAGTTATGATTAAATCTATGAACTTCCTGTCTGTGCAATTGGAGTCATATCAAGAGCTAAAAGACAAATATATTTATTATAATCTAACATATTTTGTGAGACAAAAATATCATGTTCCAAAAGCCAAAAAAATAACAAAATAATGATAATACTGATGATGATAACCAAACAAATAGATTCTCACTTTTTTATTATATAAATAAGCCTATGCATGCCAACTAGAATCTTCAGATCACAATGCCAATTCATAACTTTGGTTTATTTAGTAATTGAAATATATTTAAACCTTCCGTTCCAAATTTTTGGAGGTTTAAGTAGTAATAGTAAAACTACAACATTACTGCTCAGTGCAAACGCAACTCTTGTTGACGGATCATCCAAAAAAATATGCCAATATTATTGAAATGAAATTTTTGTCAGAAAATATACAAAATATATAAAGAAACTATATGAAAATTGTGTTCAACTTAATATGTTCCAATTATGGAAAACAGACAAGTATAAGGACATCTGAACATTGTTCCTAAACAATTAAGATCAAGGACAATTTTTTAAATCTGAGCATCCTGAACTCTGACATATAGAAAAGCATGCAAAATCTTATCATAATTACTTGCTCCCAGGAAGTTTTGATGTGGTTTCCAGGTTGTTCCACATGGCTGCTGGTATGATGTCCACACTTGCCATCTTATCCCCTTTTTTGAGCCTCATTGCCTGTGCACCCCTCGTATTTCTCCCTTGCGTGCGAATCTGGGCTTAAATCAAGATAAATAATGTAAGAACAAAATTTTACAAGACATGGCAATAAACTGGAAACCACACTCAACAAAGAAATACTAGTACTTCTAGCAGTTTACTTGGATATTCTTGATAGAAATAAATGGGATTAGCTTGTTAGAGAAGTTTGAAAACACACTTCTACAACGTGGTTTAGAGAGAAAAAGAATACTCAGAATAATAAAATAAAATAGATATGTGAATAATATATTAGGTATTATTACAAAATACAAAGCACTATTTTTTGTTTATACTAACTATATTAGGTATTATTACAAAGCACAGCACTAGTTTTTCAATCTGCCCCCTAAAACACGGTGGGTTACCGGAAGCAAGCTTCAGGTAGTGTATTCTAAGGAAATACATATTAGTTGAATAAAAACTACATTGTAGTCTACCCAAATTCAGGGTGGAGATGTCCTTATTTTAGTCATAATTTTAGCCCTAATAAAGATAAAAGGTCAGTTCTTCACATCAGACATTCAAAACTTACTATGAACTACACAATTTTGTATTCTCTATTTATGCTCTCCCTTCCTTTCCTCCAATTCTAAATTTCAAACACAAATTGTTCTAAGAGTTAACCTTATTTTCAGCAGAGTCATTTGAAAGAAATTACACAGTACCAGTAGAAAATTGAATCCTTATAGTTTCAATGAATATAGTGATTCAAGTCACTCATATTTCAAAGATTATCAAATCTGGAATTTAAAATTCAAGTAAATTAGTAACATACCAATGGACCAGATATGATTCGTTATCGAACTTTATGGTAAATTTTGAACTATATAAACAGCCCCTTCTTGAGGTAAGAGGTTTTAGTAGTTATTGCAGAAATAATAAAAGATAACAACTTGCCTTACTACATAGACTCAATATGACCAGTCCATTGTGTGAAGCCATAGCCACAAAGTCATCATTTGTGCAGCAACGGACCCATTTCAGCTCGTCACCGGGAACCTTTGAAGTTAAGTGATATATATGAATATCCGTAGACAAGGATTTTAACCACAAATCTAGTCACACGACAACAAAATGAAGATAGCAATGCAGACAGAATTTAAATGAGAGAACAAACCAATTGAGTTGCAATGATTCCAGTTGATCTGATTGATGAAAATGAATTCAAGGGTACTCTTTTGACATACCCTTGCACTGTAAGCATCAGCAAAAACTGGTCTTCGGTGAACTCACTCACAGGAATTATGGATGTTATTTTTTCGCCATCGGATAAAGATAAGATCTGTCCCAAAAGTAGCAAATGAAAAAAAAAAGTTTATTTAAGGCAACGTGTGTTACTTTCAAGTCTCTACTTATTAAACCGTTACTAAAAAGAGGCACAAATAAGTGTACAAATAAAAATGTTGTTTTACAATAACTCCATTAAATTGTATTATCTCGATGGTCACGCTCTCTCTAAACCATTTTATGAGCCCATAAACTTACACTACACACCCAAACATATGTATTTGTTGTTCATTTTTCTCCATTATCTCACTTTCAGCCAAACCTTTTATGTTGCTGTATGTAGTATTAGAGTATAGTAGGGTTCAGCCTAACTAAAGTATTGTAACTAACTGTGCTTAGTCAGCACAGTTAGACTAGGGCTTATAAACACTCACCTGGAAGGATTGTAACTAACTTTGGATGAATAACAAATTCAGTTGGAACAATCCTCTCTCTTTTCTCTCTTCCTTCTTCCTTTTCTTGCTTGATTACAGTTTCTAATATGGTACCTAGAGTTTGATTCAATCTATAACCATGGCTTCCGATGCAAATTCAGCAAATACGACGAAAAACACAGCGCAAGAAGTTCCGTTCAACTCAACCTTCAACTCGAAGAACATTTTCAAGACGTTTACGCAGCAAGTAATGCTCAAACTCAATGAAAACGACTTTCGATCGTGGAAACAGCAGATTGAAGGCATTATTCGCACGCACAAACTCCATCGTTTTCTCGTCAATCCAGATGTTCCTCCAAGCTACCTAACGGACGAAGATCGCACCAGATACAGAGAATCCTGCATTTGTCACTTGGGAGCAGCAAGACTCTCTTCTCTTCACGTGGCTCCTCACGACGCTTGCCGATTCGGTGTTACCTCGTGTTTGCTGTGTTCATTCTCATCAGATTTGGGACAAGGTGCACATTTACATTTTACATCTCATTAAAAAGGTTTACCAATCACATCTATCGGCTCTGCACATTTTACATCTCCATACACCACACATACTTGTCTCACTCAAGAGTTTATGTTAATATTTATAAATATATATAGTGTTAAGAATATTTGTATATAGAATAGTCCCACATCGACTATATCATGTAATTAGTTGTAATCTATTTATATATAATAATGTCTCCGTAGTGCTTTTCAAAACACACGGTTTATTCAAATGTCTCTTAGTCTCTTGTATTTCAACATGGTATCTAGAGTCTGCTAAGAGGCAATTCTTTCTTCGCCGTACTTTACCTGGTTGACCCACTGTCTTCCGGTGAGAAATTTTTTTTTACAAACCGTGTTGTCACTCCGGTTTGCCTCACTTTTCAAAATTCTGCGGTGACCACCCTGCCGCTGTTTCTGTTCTGGCAAAACTTCCGGCGACGTTTCAGAAAGCCGATCTCACCATCAATTTCCAACATTCTCCGATCACAGCCGCCGTAGCTACTATTCTCAACTACCTTCCGGCAAACTTTTTCATCGGCAGAAACCTCCGCACGCGCCACCTTCGTCTCCGCGCGATCGATCGCGTGATATTTTCTCTCTTCAGATATTCATGGCTACTCCTCAGAACTTTATGTCAAACTACGATGATTTTCTCAAGTGGTATCAGAATTATCAGAACTCAGATTCTACTGCTACGGTAGCACACACTGGTAATTTATCTGTTTGTCTCTCTCAATCATCTCCTCTTCGACCTTGGGTCCTTGATTCCAGTGCATCTGATCATGTTACTGGTAATAAAAATTTGTTCTCTTCCCTCTCTACCTCTGGTTTCTTACCTACTATAACTTCTGCCATTGGTTCTCAAACCCGATCCGAAGGGATTGGTACTGTTCAAATTCTACCTTCTCTATCTGTTACTTCTGTCCTCTATGTACCTAATTGTCCATTTAATTTACTTTCAGTCAGTCGTTTAACTCGTTCTCTTGATTGTAGTATCACCTTCACTAATAATAATGTTACCTTGCAGAATCGGAGTTCGGGAAAGACGATTGGCGTCGGATATGAGTCTCAAGGCCTTTACTACCTTTCATTGTCGTCTCAGACATGCTCAACCAAAGATTCTCCACTCACTATCCATGCTCAGTTAGGTCATCCTAATCTTTCCAAATTACATAAGTTGGTGCCAAATCTATCGAAGGTATCTAATTTACATTGTGAGTCGTGCCAGTTAGGGAAACACACTCGTAGTCAATTTCCCAGTCGAGTCAACAAACAAGCTTCGTCCCCTTTTGCTTTAGTTCACACCGATGTTTGGGGTCCCTCGCGTATTGTCTCTACTCTTGAGTCTAGGTATTTTGTCACCTTTATTGATAACTTTTCACGTTGCACGTGGTTATTTTTAATGAAGAATAGATCTGAATTGTTTTCTATTTTTGAACAATTTTATCGGGAAATAAGAACCCAATTTGGTTTGTCCATTCATACCTTAAGAAGTGACAATGCACGTGAATATTTATCTCAACAATTTCAAACATTTATGTCATCCAATGGTATTTTGCACCAAACATCTTGCCCTCATACACCCCAACAAAACGGGGTAGCCGAACTCAAAAATCGGCACCTCATAGAAACCACTCGGACCCTACTTCTCCATGGTAATGTTCCTCTCCGGTTTTGGGGAGATGAAGTGCTCACGGCATGTTACCTCATAAATCGCATCCCCTCATCTGTCCTTAATAATAAAATCCCTCATTCAATCTTGTTTCCAAACTCTCCACTCCACCCAATTCCTCCTCGAGTCTTTGGGTCTACGTGTTTTGTACACAATCTCTCCCCTGGTCTCTATAAACTATCAACTCGATCACTAAAGTGTCTTTCTTGGCTATCATCGATCTCAAAAGGGTTATCGTTGCTACTCACATACTCTACAACGATACCTCATATCGGCCGATGTTACCTTCTTCGAGTCTATTCCATATTTCGAGTCCATCCAAGTAACTACGAAACCTCTACAGGAAAGTATTCTCACACCTCTTCCGGAAGTCCCATCTGTCATTATCCCCCATCATTCTAGGGAACCTGACCCACTCGATACCCCTACGGTTGACCCCCCCACTCCTCGCCCACTTCAAACATATTAGCGTCGTCACCCAACGTCTGTCGCACCTGTCCCTGAGGTCACTACGGATTCTCCTCTGACGCTCTCACCATCACCGGATCCGATCCTGCAACCTGAGTCTGATCTTCCGATTGCCCTTCGAAAAGGTATACGTCAAACACGAAATCCTTCTCCACATTATATTGATTTATGTTATCATCGTCTTTCCCCTTTGCAGTATACTTATTTGTCTTCTTTGTCTTCTGTTTCTATTCCTAAAACATCAAGTGAAGCATTATCTCACCCTGAGTGGAGGCAAGCAATGATTGATGAAATGTGTGCTCTTCAAAGCAGTGGTACCTGGGAACTAGTTCCTCTACCCCATGGAAAATCTTTAGTAGGTTGTCGTTGGCTTTATACAGTGAAGGTTGGTCCAGATGGCAAGATTGATCGATTTAAAGCTCGTTTGGTAGCCAAAGGATACACTCAAATTTTTGGGTTGGATTATGGTGATACATTTTCGCCTGTAGCCAAGATGGCATCTGTTAGACTTCTTCTAGCCATTGCAGCCATTCGACATTGGTCTCTTCATCAACTTGACATCAAAAATGCATTCTTACATGGCTATTTTGAAGAGGAAGTATATATGGAGCAACCACCTGGGTTTGTTGCTCAGGGGGAGTCATCGAATATGGTTTGTAGGCTGCACAGGTCTCTTTATGGTCTTAAGCAATCTCCGAGAGCTTGGTTTGGTAGATTCAGCACTGTAGTACAACAGTTTGGTATGATCCGTAGTGAAGCTGACCATTCTGTTTTTTATCGTCACTCACCCCAAGGGTGTATTTATCTTATTGTGTATGTAGATGACATTGTCATAACTGGTAGTGATCAGCAGGGAATACTCCAGTTGAAACAACATTTCTCGAAACAATTTCAGACAAAAGATCTTGGTAAACTCCGTTATTTCTTGGGTATTGAAGTAGCCCAATCTAAAGATGGTTTGGTGATTTCTCAGCGGAAATATGCTATGGATATTTTGGAAGAAACAGGTTTGTTAAATGTTAAATCAGACGATACTCCTATGGATCCAAGTGTTAAACTACTACTCAATCAGGGGGAGCCTCTATCTGACCCAGGAAGGTATAGGAGATTGGTTGGAAAGTTAAATTATCTCACAGTCACTCGTCCGGACATTTCTTTTGCAGTCAGTGTGGTAAGCCAGTTCTTAAATTCCCCTTGTCAGGAACACATGGATGTTGTTATCCGGATTTTGAGATACATCAAATGTGCTCCAGGAAAAGGTCTTGTGTATGAGGATAAAAGACATACCCAGATAATTGGATACTCTGATGCTAATTGGGCAGGGTCACCCATTGATAAACGATCCACCTCTGGGTATTGTGTACTTGTTGGAGGAAACCTTATATCCCGGAAAAGTAAGAAACAAAATGTAGTTGCAAGATCAAGCGCCGAGGCAGAGTATAGGGCCATGGCAATGGCAACGTGTGAACTTATTTGGTTAAAACAGTTGCTCAAGGAACTTCAAATTGAAGAAGCAAGACCAATGACACTTATTTGTGATAATCAAGCTGTATTGCACATTGCTTCAAATCCAGTCTTCCATGAGAGGACAAAACATATTGAGATAGACTGTCACTTTGTCAGAGAGAAGATCGAGTCAGGCGACATCGTCACAAGCTTTGTCAACTCTAATGATCAATTGGCAGATGTGTTCACAAAATCTCTACGAAGCCCCAGAACTAATTATATATGTAACAAGCTTGGTGCATTTGACTTATACGCTCAAGCTTGAGGGGGAGTGTTAATATTTATAAATATATATAGTGTTAAGAATATTTGTATATAGAATAGTCCCACATCGACTATATCATGTAATTAGTTGTAATCTATTTATATATAATAATGTCTTCGTAGTGCTTTTCAAAACACACGGTTTATTCAAATGTCTCTTAGTCTCTTGTATTTCAACAGTTTACTTCTTGACCCTGATATTATTAAGAATTTAATTTCTGTTAGTAAATTTACAAAGGACAACAAAGTATACTTTGAGTTTCATGCTGACAAGTGCCTGGTCAAAACACAGGGCAACTCTGAAATTGTGCTCCAAGGCTCACTAAATAAGGATGGATTACACACTTTTGGATCACTTCAACCCATCACAAGTCCTGCATCTGCTAGTGACATCATAAGAGAATCTTCTCTCAATGCTCTACCTCTCTTAAAACCTCTTCTTATACTTTATGGCATAACAGGCTTGGGCGTCCACATATGAGGCTCTTAAAGCTACTCTAGATCTTTGCAGTATTTCTTTACCTCAAAAATCTAAGTTAGACTTTTGCAGTCCATGCTGTTTGGGCAAAACACATATGTTACCTGGTTCACCTTTTCACACCACATACACAAAGTCATTGGAATTAATATATGTTGATGATGTATAGGGGGCTGCTCCTATGGTTTCTACTTGTGGATTTAAGTATCTGTAAACATGTGTGGATGTTTTTCTAAATACACTTGGGGATTTCCTCTCAAGCTTAAATCTGATGTTCTGCTCACTTTCACACACTTTCTCACAGCGGTTGAAATTCAATTCTCTACTAAAGTTAAAGTTGTTCAAACGGATGGAGGGGGAGAATCTCAATCTCTCACCTCACTATTTCACACAAAGGGTATTGCACATAGGCTGGCTTGCCCTCACATGCACCACCAGAATGGATCAGTTGAAAGGAAGCATAGGCATGTGGCTGTAACAGGCCTAACTTTTCTTGCTCAAGCAAACCTTCCTCTCAAATTTTGGGAGCATGGTTGTTTAACAGCTACTCATTTGATCAACAGAATGCCAACCCCACTATTAAGCATGAAGTCTCCATACTTCATGCTTTACAATATAGGGTGTCAGGTTAAAGGGTAGGGATGGCAGGTTAAATTCTCCACAACAGGTATTAGCATGGCATGGTCTAATGACGAAAACAATTCTAATCATTTGAATTTATTTTTTTCTTTGTGAAAACATGGACCCTTCTTGGTATTATTTTTGTCAAAACGCCCTTTGAATTGCCACTTCCACCATGCCCTCTCCAGGTCTGAGCTTGCAGAGCCTGAATAGCTTCTTGAACTCCTTTTCTTTCTACAATTTGCATCTCATGTGCTGCTAAGGAACCTACGAGATCCTCCAACTCCATGGTGGACAAATCACTAGTCTCTTGAATTGTCACGATAACATGATCAAAATGAGAAGTCAAAGTTCTCATCACGTTCTCAATGATCGTTCTATCTGTCATGGTTTCACCGCACCCTTTCATCAAGTGCACAAGATTTTGTACCTTGGACACATATGCTGCAACTTTCTCCATCTCTCCCATCTGCAGTAATTCATATTGCTTGCGCAGCAATTGTAGTTTCACATTTTTAACCTACTCATTTGATCGACAGAATGCCAACCCCTCTGTTAAGCATGAAGTCTCCATACTTCATGCTTTACAATAAAATTTCTGACTACAAGTTTATCAAGGCCTTTGGGTGTGCTTCCTACCACACCTTGGACCTTATTCCTCTCACAAGTTCAATTTCCATTCTCAAGAGTGTATCTTTCTAGGCTACTTCTCCAATCACAAGGGTTACAAGTGTCTTGATCCAACTGGAATAATCTACATTTCAAAGGATGTTTTCTTTAACGAAATTAGATTTCCATATCCCTCACTTTTCCTATCCTCCTCCTATTCCAAATTCAACCCTGTCTCTACCTTTTCCTATCACTCCCAACCTATTCAAACAAACCATTCCTATTTCCCAAAATTCCAGGCCCTCAACTAGCACAAACTCTATTCTTCCTCAAAATGCTCCCCCAAACAGCCCCTCAACTCGTATTCACTCATATCATCCTCAAGCTTCTCCATCCAACACTCCCTCAGATACACATACATCCTCACTCAATAGTCCTACAGCTACCCCCAACACTCCTTCCAATAACTCTCCAGCTTCTGCATCCACTGCTACAAACAGTTCTGAATCTCAACAAACCTCTTCCTTTAATTCCACATCTCCACCAGTTTACCCTTCTTACATCCCAATAATACTCATGCTATGACCACAAGAAGGAAGAGTGGTATAGTTCAACCAAGACTCCATCCTACACTTCTACTCACTGAAGTAGAACCTACATCTTACAAGGTAGCTCTAAAAGATCCCAAGTGGCTGGAAGCTATGAGTGCGGAATTTCAGGCCCTAATAAACAATCATACATGGACTTTAACGTCTCTTTCCCCAAATAGGACTAATATTGGCTCCAAATGGGTGTTTAGGATTAAACAAAATCCTGATGACACCATTAACAAGTACAAAGCCAGGTTGGTGGCAAAAGGGTTCCACCAACAACACGGCTTTGATTTTAATGAGACTTTTTCCCCTATTGTCAAACCAGTGACTGTGAGGGTTGTTCTAACAATTGCCTTTTCAAAAGGCTGATATATTACTCAGCTTGGTGTCAACAATGCTTTTCTAAATGGCATCCTTCAGGAGGAAGTCTATATGGAACAACCTCCTGGTTTTGACAACTCCGAACCTCGCCTGGTATGCAAGCTGAATAAGGCCATTTATGGGCTCACGCAGGCACCTAGGGCCTTGTTTGAGAGGTTGAATCAAGGTCTTAAAGGGTTTGGCTTTACATCAAGTAGATGTGATCCATTTCTTTACATCAGCTTCTGAGGTGTTGTGGATACAGTCTTTACTAATTGTACTCAAGGTTTCCCTTTTTTTACCACTCCTGTGTTATTTTGTGATAACTTGAGCACAGTGGATCTCTCCCATAATCCAGTCTTGCATGCCAAGACCAAGCACATGGAACTTGACATCTTTTTCTTAAAGAAAAAAGTTTTGAGCAAGAGTCTTATAGTACACCATATTCCTGCCTATGTTGACCTGTTCACAAAACCTCTCTCTCCACTTCGGTTTCTTCAGCTCAGAGACAAGTTGAAAGTGTTAGACAAGTCATCTCTTGCACAGAAATGATTTTGGTCTTGAAGGGAAGCTATTAGAGTATAGTAAAGCCTAACTTAAGTATTGTAACTAACTATGCTGAGTCAGCACAGTTAGACTAGGGCTTATAAACACTCTCACCTAGCAGAATCGTAACTAACTTTGGATGAATAACAAATTCAGTTAGAACAATCCTCTCTTCTCTCTTCTTCCTTTTCTTGCTTGATTACAGTTTCTAATATGTAGACATTGTATACAAGTATGCCCATTTTTCTGGTGTGTGCAGGTGTGTTGGTGTGTAAAGAGAGAATAAGAGAAATACTTGAACAAGTGGTGTGCCAGAAGCAGTCCGGCTACACTCTGGAATTTTGTAGGCACGAGCTGAGTATACCGTTCCCCTATCACTGAAAATTGAATTTCACAAGCCACATAATATTCAAATGAAATGTAACTAAATTTGTTACAAGGCAGTGATTTCAAATACTAACAATAACATAATTAACCACAACCAAGAAAAGAAACAAAAACTAAGGATTCTAAATAATGACCATATAATGTCATTTCTTAGATAAAGAATGACTGTTGACAAGCACAGCTAAACCACAATAAACCCACCTATAAGTTTAGTATCAGTTAGAGTGCATCTCCAGAAAGAAATCAGGACCCAAAAAAAAAAAGAGTATCTCCAGAAAGAAGCTAAACCATAATGTCATAAAATATAAAGAAATTTTTTTATTTATTTTATATAGGTATCTTATAAACATAGAGTATCCCATATTTTTCAAGGAATGATGTATCGCCATAATGGTAAGATACATATTCAATACTGTATTTGTGCATCATATGAAAGTGCATATTTATATTTAAAAAATCTAGGTACTGCCCAAACCAAGATCCAAAACAAAGTTAAAAATATTTGTTACTTATAGTAAGATAAATGCTAGCAAAATAATCCTTGAGACTTGTTACAACAGTATTTAATATTGGGTGAAATCTAATGCTGATATCACTGATAGATATTGGTCAGGGTTAATAGTGGGTCCAAATATTTGGATTTAAGGATTAAAGATATGAAGTAACATTCAGGCTATTTAGAGCTTCTATAGGTACAAGTCTCTTGAACAAAAGTAAATAACTAAGTCTCTTCATTTTTTTCTGCATTGACCAATGGGTTAGCTCGAATTTCAATAGGCAGATACCAGTCCACTTTAGGAACCACAACAAAAACATACCTGAAATAAAGGACATAATCATGTGCGCGACAAACGATGAAATCAGACATTGAATCGTTCATTTTTAGTTTGCCTACTGATTTGCCAATTGTTCCACGATGTTGTAGGTTAAAAGTATTTGGCTTCATACGCTTCAAATAACCTTTTCCGCTAAGTGTCTGAGAGTAAAAGACACTGTCATGAACACAGTATCCATTTTGTGACCAATAGATAGAAGAAAAAAAGTGTATAAGTAAGATTTATACTATAGTTGCCATGTACCAATAGCATTTCTTCATTTGGAATAACATCAATATCCTCAAGCTGACCATCATCTGTGTCCTCCAAAATTGAACGCCTCGGACTAGCAAACTTGTTTTTCAGATCAATTGCTTCTTGTTCTATAAGCTAAAAAAATGAGAAATCCAACAAAATTGTCAATCCCAGAAAAATGGAAAAAATTTCAGCAATGCCAATTGCTTCTATTAAGTCATGTGTCACCCTTTAAAAAATATTTGAAAGAGGGAGTATGGGTTCATTAGATCTCCAGTCAACCCCCAAAATTCATTCAAAAGGTTGATGAGAATTGTTTAAGATAATTTTAAGGCCTGTTTTGTGACATTTTTTTTTCATTTTTTGTTTACATTTTCAATTACAAAATCCCTTTTAGATTTGGGAAATTGTGTTTAATAGAAAAACTATAAATGAATTACTTTTATTTTCACTTTTCCCAATTCAAAACATTAAAAATAGGAAATAAAGTGAAAGCAAGGTCACATTACTCGAGGATGGAGACTGGTATTCCAGTGCTGCAGTAACCTTCAACAATGTCCCACTGACTCCATGTGTGAAATTGACCGGAACAGCCAACTACAATACCTGGGATGCTGCTGTCCAGTTGTGATTTTAAGGCTGGTGAAGTTAAGACCTCTTGACTAAACAAGCCAAAGATATTCTAGACAAATATCAAGTCTACAAGAAACGAGGTGTTTTCTATTTTATTTTGGGAGTGGGGTATTGATAGGAAACCCTGAATAGGAGGGTTTATAAACGAACGGCAATAACAGGAAAACTAAGTACAGTTAGGTAGTCAAATTAGGTTAGAAATAAAACGAACTGGGGAAGGAGGGATAGTACGAGGATGCTTGAGAATTCTTGAATCTAATAGCCTGGAAGATTGTTTGAATTATTCAAGCTGTTATTCTGTATTTCTGACCAATCCTAACAATGCACCACTGGAGCAGATTGCGAGTTAGGAATTTCTTTATTAAATTAATTGTTTATCTAATTTCTGATCCAGTGTTATGATCTACTATTATATTTAGCCTCTACTTGTGCACAATATCTCTTTGTTGATTATAGAAATAGTGTTAACAATTGGCTGAAACTAATACAATTTCATAATTTTTTCATACCAGTATTGCACTGAACAAATAGACTTAATAAGCTAACTCCGTAATTAGACTGACCAGCCAAAACTTTACAAAGCTAATTCAGTGAGTTTTTAATGAGAAGAATACAGCTTCAAAGTGATACTATACCTCCAGAATATTTTTCCTGGTGGACAACAGTTCCTCTAACTTGGAAATTTGTTCGGTCAAAGACTTATTTTCAGCCACAAAGTTGTCACTCTGCACACAGCACAAAGCTTATAGTTCAAATATGCTCCTAGCACAGGTAAACTTAGAGAAATCTCAATAAAATAAAAACAACAATCGTTATAGTCTAATGAATGGTATGATTCTAGTGCACCTCACGAAGGGTTAGTCTTCTTAGGCTCATGTCCAAAAGAGCTTCAGCTTGTTTCTCAGAGAGATTGAACTCTGCAAATAGATATTGCCGTTCACATTAAACAGCTATAAGATAGAGAATTCCAAGTCAAGGTTACATGGATTTAATTTCAATAAAAAATCATTATTCAAACGACAGTGATGCAAAATAGAGTTTCCAACAGAAAAACTTCTAAGAAAGTAGCCTCTACATATCATGTCTTAACTAACATATTCCAAGAAGAAAATTTGGAACCAATGAAATTACTAAACAAACTTAAAATTAGGAGCTCACCATTTCGTAGCCCGGCTGCAGCAATTGAGTTACTTGAAGCTTCACGTATTATGTGAATCACCGCATCCAGATTATTGAACCCAACAAGAATACCCTGAGTTTGTACATAACATTTACAGTCAAAATGCTCATTAAAAAAGTGTAGCCTCACTAGTTAGTCTCACTCAATCCTTGTTAGAAATTTAATATAAAACCATTCATTCATTGAGAAATCGGACTAGAGTTCAATATTGCCACACACATGCAAAATAATAGCAATCCATATGTCAGCCTTTGTAGCTTGTTACAGGCCATTTATTTGAATGAAAAATATGGTTAAATTAATCACTTAGCGCCAGTTTGGCCAATTCCCACAGATTTGGTGATCAATCAATTTTTTTGGTTAAAGGGACCAAACCAATTTCGGCCATACTAGTTTTCCAGCCTTTCAACCAATGTTATACTTTGAGAAATGTGTCCAAGCTTTATACTCTATGTACATGGTAAATTGACAGTACAAACACAAGTAGATTCTCTGTTTCGTGTTACATACCTCAACAATATGTCTTCTCTGTTGTGCTTTTGATAACTGAAATCTTGCACGTCTTTCAACAACAGAGCATCTGAAGTCTAAGAATGCCTGAAGTAACATCAAAGATTAAGCCAGGAAAATAGAAAATAGCACTACAACTTAAAAAAAAAAACAAAGCAATCACCCTACAAACAAATGACTAATACCAAATAGAAAGAAAAAAAGTCATTACAAAATACACACCAGTATAAAAAGCTAAAAATAGTAGTGGCTCGTAGCAGAAAGAATGTGTTATAAGGGAAAGTGGAAACTGAATGTAGTTTTCAAATTAATAATTTTAGCTTTATTATATGTTAAAATTAAATGTTTCTATAGCTTGTACAGGAAGAAAAAAATGAATATTCATATTACACTACCAAAAACTCAAAGAAGCTTATTGGCTAGAGAGAGAAAAAAGTAGGTTAAAAGAGCAATTTGATTATGGAACTTGGACATGGAAAAAGTTACTTTACACCAACTGTGAGCACTCATCTTTAGAGATAGGTTGAGCACACTGCAGTTACAATTGGGACATCTAATGGTTAATTATTTACTGGAAACTAACTAAATTGACTAACTAACACCTGAATAAACTTAGACAGAGAAGATTATTCTCTCACAGACCCAATGTAGTGGTGAGTCACTAAGAGAGATTTATTTTCCAAATAACCATAGATGATACAGGACAAACATTGGACAACTGAGGCCAGTAAGTACTAACCTGTAATATTTCTTTCAATCCCATTTGTTTAGGTTGTCCGTTAAGAATGCTACAAAATTTCAGACGGAAAAGGTATGCTCCAATTAAGATGTGAAGCATTAATAAAGCATAAAGCATAATAATACAGATATAACATAATCAAGAAGTGAGAAACAATATGCTGACAAATTCAATAGAACCCATAGAGCCCAGATCAAGGAAAAGAAGAAGCCATATGTATATGGTTTAGTATATATAAAAAAACCATGGAACCTTCCCTTTCATCGGAAGTGAAACAAGAAACATCTATCAAATGAAATAAGATAGAGGTCTGGCTCTGGCCTATGCAATTCCAAAAAATCATAATCAATATGTTTAGTCTAACAAAATTTTCCTTAAATATACCAAGTACAAGTTCTATGCCGGTAAGAGAACCATAAACCCCCAGGGGTTTCGGTGAGTGCAGAACTATAATCGTTCCAAAAGATATTTATTTGTTATAATGCAATTCCTAGATATGGAGAAAAGTAATAATAATCAATCGTCAGAATGGCATTAATGATAAGAGAATCAGAGTATTTAAATTGGCTACTTTGAAGAAGAAGAAAAAAGGTGTAGACAACAAACTTACCCCACCATGTTGCAACTAAATGCAGACTGCAGAGAAGTTAAGCGATAAAGATTATTCAAAACAATCAATGGATCTGACCCCCGCTTCAGCTGCAAAGTGGGTGAAAATAATCGTCATGTAATACAACAGTTTCTTTTTTCCATTTCTTTTTAGTTTCTTGCATGTGTCATAGAACAGGAGAATATAGGAATTAGGACCAGAGCCTATTTATATATTTTACCTCAATGACTACACGCATTCCAGAGCGATCACTCTCATCCCTGATATCACTTATCCCATCTAAACTCTGCATAGAAAACAAAATTTAAAAAAAAAAATGTAAAAGCAAAAATTTTAGGTTAGGGCTTCCTGTTAAAAAGATTGGCACCCTTCAAAAACCCAGAGAAGGCAGAAAACACCAACAATATTTGAAACATACAAAGTGCAAACCTCCCAAGTATAAAAAATATGATGAGACAAAAACCAGAAGCAAAGGCCAAAGGTTCAAAACAAGTGTTAGAAGAGGAAAAACAAAAGAAAGTAAAATTGATATTTCATGTATTAGTTGAATCTTTTCTAAACAGAAGAATATCTTTAGATTACAAAAGTTTATATGGACATTATCCTTCAATTAATTGGGGCTAAACCTGCACCTACTCCTAACTAACTCTGAGGCAGTTAAGACTTAAGACTAACGGTGCTGATGTGGCACTCTAACAAAACTAACTATTGCCATGCGGCTCTATTACAAGCTGTCACTTTGCATATTAATAGTAAACCCTTAGATAACTATCTCAAAAACTCACGCAACAAGATACAAGGCCAGTGCAATTTCTCTACAATACTGAATAGAAAATTGTATTGCTCTTGAGAAGGCTCTGCTAATATGTTTCCAACCAGAGCTTGGGGTTTATCTATAAGACTATAAGCTTCTGGGATACAAGAGATAAGAAGTTTAGCTAAATTTCAAGAGGAGAGCCAACAAGAACTAAAGAAACAGATAGAAACTGATAAAAAAAAAGAATAAAGGGCAGCACCTAATGAAATGGCGAAGAATGTGGAAGCAAAAGTAAAGGCATAAAATGGTCAAGAATCCGAGTCATATTCATCCATGTATGGAGGTAGAGGTCATGGAAACTAGCATATACATGAAAGAACCTGCAGAACCAAAGTCATGCAGTGGACGGGGTAACAAAGGTATGTACTATTGTGACGTACAGTATAAGCACCAGCGATTGTGTGAGAGATGATGGCGTGGATGAAACAATGAGGGTGCCAAAAATACAAGACCTGGTGACAACCTTAAAGACTTTCCACCACCACCCAAACCATTGGACTTGGGCTTGGCCAATCTGGGGCCCAATGGGCCCTTCACACCAGACCCAAGTAGGTAGGAAAAAGAATTGGGTATTTCAGAAACGATAGGCCATCATCCATCTATATCAGAGGCATCATCATGTTCATGCAATGGGATCCTGGGGGAAATTTTAAAAAGAATAAAAAATTCTTCTTTTTTCCACCTCAAGTATAAGGTCAATGTTAAGGGAGGGAGTACTAAAAATTGAGAGGGTTGTAGAGGCACAGTTTGTTAACAGAAAAATATAGGGAAAAAGTTGATGAGAGTTTAGAGGAAGACGGGTCTTTGGGTGAGGATTAGCATCAAGGAAGGTCCCCAGATCACTCGAATATCCAATGATTGTGAGTGATCTGTTACATTCTATTCATTCAATAATAATTCAGTTTTCTAAGTGTGGTTGAATTCCTATCACAACCCAGTATTATATATTATCTAATAACTACCCCTACAAATAGTTGAAGAAGAGAGAAAGGGAGAAAAGGTAGAAAGACTATAGAGAATTTGGGTAGGAAATTAAAAAAGCTTCCACCAAATTAATATAATACTCCCTCTGTTTTATATTAAGTCATTTTAGATTTTTCACACGTACTAAGAAAAGTAATCATTGTGGTATGGGAAAGAGAAACTATGAAGGATTTTACAATAATATTGTCCTTCATTAATTGCATGGGAAAGATAAATTTAAACAATTGAGAAAAGAGATGATAATAAATAAGGGTATTATATGAAAAATAACATTAATGATTCCTTGATATTGCAAAACAGCTTATATTTTGGTACAAACTTCTTTACCAAGTGGCTTATAAAAAAACGGAGAGTAATAATTAGTATTGTCTCAAAAAACTTACATGGCACTCAGGTTTCAAAATATTAGCTACTAAACACCTTACTCCCTCAGTTTAAAAAAGCTTCCACCAAATTAATATAATACTCCCTCTGTTTTATATTAAGTCATTTTAGATTTTTCACACGTACTAAGAAAAGTAATCATTGTGGTATGGGAAAGAGAAACTATGAAGGATTTTACAATAATATTGTCCTTCATTAATTGCATGGGAAAGATAAATTTAAACAATTGAGAAAAGAGATGATAATAAATAAGGGTATTATATGAAAAATAACATTAATGATTCCTTGATATTGCAAAACAGCTTATATTTTGGTACAAACTTCTTTACCAAGTGGCTTATAAAAAAACGGAGAGTAATAATTAGTATTGTCTCAAAAAACTTACATGGCACTCAGGTTTCAAAATATTAGCTACTAAACACCTTACTCCCTCAGTTCCTTTTTTAAGTGTCACTTTTTGGATAATTTTTTGTTTCTTTTTAATTGTCACTTGCAAAGTTTAAGGTAGTATTAAATGCATTTTTATCAAAATTACCCCTAGATAATTATTAGAGAGAGAGAGTAAAATGAATGTAATAAATAATTAGGGGTATTATAGGTAAAAAGAAAATTATTGTATGAAAAGTAACAATATTGATTAGTTTTCTTGGTATGTGTAAAAAATCAGAAAGTGACACTTAAAAAGGAACTGAGGGAGTATTTAAAAAGTGACCTCACAGCAGTTAGATTATATATCTAGTTTTAGAAGGCATAGTCATCTTTATCCCTCAGACAGAGCCTTATTTCACTTAAACAGAAGTCAGTTACATGCAACTCCAAGAAGACATAAACTGACAATGACATTTACAGCATTTGGATGACAAAGAAAGGAAAAAAGCTTTTTAAACATATTAATACCTTGTTTTCCACAAGATCGGCAATCTTCTCAACCAAAGCTGATTTGTTTGTCTGGTAAGGAATCTATTCCAATCATAAAACGGAATTTGTAAGGAACCTTCCAGAGAAAATAAAGCATGTATTTCAAATGTCAGAATCTGAAAGAATCTAGAGAACTACCTCCTTAATTATTATGGCACTCCGTTTCGACTTAGAATCAAGCAATTCAACATCAGTTTTTCCTCTGACAACAACGCGTCCACGACCAGTACGGTAGGCTTCTAAGATCCTTAAGAAAAATAAGTATATATATATCTATCATATCAGAAACCAAACAGTGCTAAATTTTTGGGAAGGCACAAAATTTGATACGACATACTCATGAAGGTTTGATATCAAACTTATGGATTAAAACAAGGTCACGTAGTTTTCAAGTGCCACAGACTTCTGTAACAGAAGATGTCAGATTCTCTTCAAGGCTTGTTTTATTTTATTTAAAACCCTCAATTTCTATTATGTAATTGAAGAACGAAAGAGATGAAAATGTAAATAATGTATGATGCAACACATCAACTATCCATACACCATCGCCAAAACATTAGCCATGTTTATTGATTTGCAACTGACAAATAATCAGTTAGATTGCCACTACCAGCTAAAAGGAATGCTATAGGCAACATATTTTAAGTTTATATTTACACAGTCAATACAAATTTGTCATCCAACATAAAAAACTAAAAACCTTTATGAAATATACATAAAAAAGGGATCCTTCCAAAAACTTAATAGACTCACCCAAGGTTTCCCATAATCAGTCCTCCTGTGGGAAAGTCGGGTCCCGGCATGTATTCAAGTAATTCTTGCAGCTACAACAGACCAGGAAAAATTATAAACTTAAAAGGAGAGAAGGGGAGAAATTAATAAGATTTAAAAGCCTACAAAATAATAACTGAAAAATAATAACATGACTATACTTTCATTTCTTAAGAACTATTTTACTTAGGAACTCTGGCAAGTTTATTGTGGAATTGGCTATTCTTAGTAGAGAAAATTTAGTTTGCTGTAACAGTGACTTTTTAGTTGTGTGACAGGACCAACACATTCTTCAATACATTATGATTGATCCATTCCCAAAAAAGCTGACGAATTTGACTCAAATTAATTGTTTTTCAAAAGTTTGTCAACCTTCTAAGAAAACCAATCATGTAGTGTGTTTCCGAGACCTTTCCAAAAAGTGTATTGCAAGTATTCCTTTGCAACAATAATGTTCAAAAGATCTGGAAGAAGATCAGAGGTCAAGACTCCATCCAACTGTACTTTGTCAGCTGTTCTGTGGTGTATCGGGCTGTACCTATGTTTTTAATGAATATCCATTTTATCAAAAAAGAAAGTGAGATTTGGCACTCACAGTAGCTTCTGGATTATGTATTATAGCACAGAGCACATCTACTACTTCCCCGAGATTATGAGGAGGGATATTAGTCGCCATGCCAACCTGGTGAATATAAGAATACAAAGCTCTATGTAAGAAGATGCATATGTATGACTTATTGATGAACAAATATCAGGAATTCCAATATGCAAAAGGGGCCCAAAATCACCGCAATCCCAGAAGAACCGTTCAACAATAAGGTTGGAAGACGAGCTGGTAGGACTGACGGCTCTTTCTGTGAGTTATCAAAATTTGGAACGAAATTAACCTGCAACAAGGAATGATTACACATATGAAGCACTCTATTGATGTCAAATTAAATCAGAAAATCCAAAAGGCAGAGAACGGCAGTGACTTACTGTATCTTGATCAAGATCTGCCAACAACATTGCTTCAGCCAATTCCTGCATATTTAGACCAAGAACTAATTAAATTCCTTCAAAATGTATGCCAATATGCAAATCTATTCAAAGAACACGAAAGACAATGACAGTAAATCCAAAATTCTGGACATTTTCTTTAAGGCTAATAAAACTTCATGCCAATCCCCTAAAACAGGTATTTGGACAAGACAGATTCATACAAATCATTCCCTCTATTTTCATATAAGCAAAAACAAGAACTATGTAACAACAAATTTTATTAATCACTAAAATACTAAGGAAAAATGCACTTCCACCACCTTCTGTAAAAATTATTAAAATTATAGTGCCTTTTTGGGTTTAATTAAACACAGTTCTAAAGTCATGGTCTCTTTTAACACTCCCTTCCAATGAGAAAAATTAAAAAAGAAGAGAATTCCAACTATAATCATTTGTTAACAACAGAGATTTAGATAAGAAATATGCATATGATGTCTAAGCAACACAATATCAAACAATAGCCAAGTAAAACACAAGAACTGATTATTCATGTTTATGAAGACAAGGTTGTTTTTCCTAGAAGTTCCTTGTTAGATTAATCCGCAAGACCCAATTATAACAAATCTTTTTAGCACATCCTGCAATCGTTTCTCGAGAACAAATCCTTCAGAATTCAGATATGTAGCTAAATGAAGTACAAAAAAACATAATTTTAAAAGCAGAATCCCTTCAATAACGGATGGATGTAAGTTACATGATCTTTCAATTTTCCTCTCCTCAGACTTCTGAAAAAGAAACATATACCATGAACATCAAATTCCAAGTTTGGCGTCTTGAATGTTTATCTTTAAAACTGCTCACAATTGGATAAAAAATAACAGTTTGTTTACTGACATCAGCACTCTTGATTAAAAATTAGTGCACAACTTTCCCTACCAGTAGTTAACAAACACAAATAACTATTGATTGGAGAGTCCTTTATATCAAACTTTTGGTATAAAATTGAAGTTAAACTATTAGAAAAGTAGAGTTCATATTTAAAGAGTAAGGGGTTAAACACATACTTCCAATCTGCACTCTGTGTAACGCATGGCGGCAGGAGGGTCAGCATCAATTGACCCAAAATTTCCATGACCATTAACCAAAGGACTTCGTAATGAAAAATCCTGAAGAACATTGGAAAAATATAAATATAAAAGCATAATAAAAAATGATACTAAAAGTAAAGGAGAGAATCAGCAAAAAGTATCACTACAAAAAGCAATTGCATATATTACATGCCAAAAGACACTAGGTGAAACAACAGGAAATAGCACTCTCCGTAAAGGGAGATAAAGGGTATTTCTTTAGTTCCAACTTCCAATCCCCCAGAACACATAAAACGTAGACTGACCAATAAAGTGATGTAATTCAAATTACCACATCCAAAAAAACTAACATCCATCCCACACTTCAGGTGAATAACTAGAATATTTTGGCCAAAATAAGAAACTGGGTGGTGGGAAAACGAGTAGTAAGCAGTGTTGTCACTTGGCAATAGCGCGCAATAAATCGATCGCCTTGTTTACACCAAGCCGGTTGGTGCCCTGCTCTCGAGTGACAGGTTGGACACCAGCAACTATGGTATGTGGGCGTCTGACAGTGACGTCAACTTTGGCTTAGAGGCCTAGATTATGAAGATTGTCTCATCCATGAAAAGATGAAATTTTTCCTGTCACTGACTGTCCTTGATGGAGTAGCATTGATGTTCAACTTTGTATTGTCACCAAATCAACCATTTATCATTTGGAGAGGAAGTTGTTTAATGCTACGGGACTTGTGATAAGCAGGCAGCCGGATTATTTGCGAGGACCAAACGCATTGAAAAAAAAAATTGAAATTTTATTAAGGGTAAGAATTATCAGGGGAAATTATGATTAGCTTCATAAATTCAAATTATCCTCTAGGAAGGGTAGTAGTTTGTCTCTCAAGTAAAATACTTATCTACCTTGGTAATTAATATCTATAATCTATCAATAGATGGAAATAGCAATACTATTGATTATTCCAAACTCATAATTTCATAAGGCGCCATAAGTTTACTTATAACCTAAAAATAATAAAAACCTCACACAAATCGTGATAAGACATGTAATCTTAATAAATTTCCATATTAGTCATCTTATAAAAGATAAAATCCCTAAAAGTAAAGAAAGATATAATTTATAATTAATCTAAATAATAAAATTATTATCAAATCCCAAAATTAAAACAACCATATTCAATTATGGAATAATAGTCGTGCATAACTAACTAGAAAGTATGATAGCAATTTAGAGAAGAAAATCAGTTTAGAGTGTTTGGATTAGCTCATCTTAGGGATATAAATTACAATGGCTCCTTTTATCAACTTTCTATGATACACGTGTCATATCATATGATATTACAGATAAGAAACTACTGACCCAGCAATCCAGTATATCTTTGAGATGAAGAGAAAATAAAACAAAACATGGTTTACCTGGGCCATCCGAACCATGGAATCATATACAGCAGAGTCACCATGAGGGTGGAATTTTCCCAATACCTACAATAATGGCGTGGTATAGCAGCCTCTATCAGCAGTAAAAACAACAGTAGATAATACACTGTTCAAACTTCAAACATACGTCTAGATGCATTTATTGAGTGCTTCATTATTATTAACAAATATTTAAAATTTTGTTATTAACCTCTCCAACAACTCTTGCACATTTCTTGAATGGTTTTTTGGACGAAAGGCCGAGCTCGTGCATTGCAAATCTGCATTCAGAATATTAGCTTGTATTGCAATAACATCTCAATGAAAACTGTCAAATTTAAGCAAACTCCAAATGTCAAAAGTATGAAGCAGCATGAATTCCGAATGATATGTTATGGATAATGGATCTACATCCTAATTAAGTACTTTTTACTATAATTTCCTAAATTTCCCTCAACTTAAAAGTTTTATAGTATTCAAATAAGTGGTTAATGATAAATTTTGCTGTCTATTCATGTTTCAGTTCCATCGATAAGTTGGAAAATTACAATCAAAAGAAGTTAGTGGAGAATATGAATAGACATTTAAGAGTTCAAATTATATTCCCCTAGATTAATGCTACTTAGCAAACTATAAGTGGTCATCTCAAATTGAAAATCTTCATATGAACTAAACATACAACAGAGAAAGTTTTCACAACATGTAACTAAAGTGTGCTTCAATAAGTGTCATGACTAACATAATGACAACAACCATTAGTTCACTCCATTGATACATAAATTTGAGTGAGTTTTTCATTACAATAACATATATCTGAGTTTTAAATATTTAGGAGAGTTATTCAGCTCTGAGAGCACAATCCCATCTAAGATACTTAACATTTTTTCCAGCGGTAAAATTAACTTCAAAAACATCTAACTTCGCAATAAAAAAGTACTTACAGAATCCTGCTATGATAAATAAGTCAAAATTTTCTACAGTTCCTCAATCAGAAAACCACACAATAATAATTTTTAAAAAAAAAACAATTAACTGTGCAATAAAAAAGTACTAACAGAATCCTTCTATGAACAGGCTTCAACCCATCACGAACATCAGGCAAAGCACGACCAAGCAAAACCGACATAGCATACGCCATGTAAGCTTCCGTTGCCTCTTTATGAAGTTCAGTCAACACAATCCTCCCCTCGCTCTTCTTAACAACATCACTACCGTTACTATCCACCACCGCCAAACTTCCATTTCCGTCTTGCCCCGGTTCGTCACGGCGTCCAACACCACTAGAAGCAGCCTTGATAGACGTGGAGGGACGACGTCGGGAAGAGGCAGAGAGGAATCGGATATCCGGCGTAGTGCGGCGGAGAAATGAGAGGCGTGTGGCGGGAGTGAAAGGAGAGAGTGTGAGGAGACGGAGTGCGGAAGAGAATGCCATTGAGGAGTTGTTGTGGAGATTGAGGGAAGAAGAGAGTTTCATAGGGTTGTTGATGGCATTGGAGATAGTGTAGTGTGGATTTTGAGTTCGAAATTTTTAGGGATTTTGTTGTGAGAGAGAGGAAAAATGAAGAGATTCTTAAACCCTTTTTGGTGAGGTTCTCTCTGGTGTTGTTGCGCGCCAAGGTGCGGATTTCGGGATTTTTGGATGCATAAATATCTATCTAATGCGTACTATCTATCTTCTTTGCTTTATTTTTTTTACCTTATTTTTAAGGATTAAATAAGGTTTTTTTAATCTTAAACATAAGGATTTTTAATTTAGTTCTTTTTAAAAAAATTTAAAACCTTAAACCTCTAAATTTTTCTGCTATTAATTTTAGTCTTTTATTTTTTTTTAGTTTCAATCTGCATATTTGAAATAAGTTATTTTACAAAATGTTATTCATAAAATTTTAAAATATTATTAATTTTTCTATAATATTGTGAATGACTAAAATTTTAATTAAAATTTATGCTAACGCATGTTTCGGTTCTTTATATTTTATGTTTAAGGATTTAATTCTTTTAGTTATTTTAATTATGTATCGTTTAAAAAGTACATGTGTTCATATCATTCTTTTAAAGGATAAGGATGTTTAGAGATTTTAATAAGTGTTCTCACCTGATTAGAAAGGAGTCAGTGACCCGTCACGCGTCGTGATCTGATGTCTTCACCAGAGTTGTGGAGGAGGAAGGGGGTGTACTGATTAGTGCATTTTAATTACATTCTCTTATGTTTGTACTTAGTCATTTCTTTATTTATTTTACTGTTTTATTATATTTTTATAATTGAGTCTTTATTTGTCGTTAATTTATTTTCGCAGTTTATTTTCAGCTTTAGCGGTTATTTGATATCTCTCCACTATTCGGATCATAACTAGAGCTACGAGAATTGGATTTATGTGTTTTACCAGGCGTTGAAAAGTGAGACAAAGAGCTACAACTTTTATGTTTTACTCGGAAGTTGATTCGGAGTGTAACAATCTCAAAAATCATTCGTTTAAGTTAGGACCTGAATTTTGCCTTTAGGAATACTTAGTTTTGGGTCGGGTTTTTTATGTTTTTTGACTCAGTTGGGTTAGAACCGGATTTTGTGACGCTTCCCTATACCTAGTAGCAGTTGGGGCTACTGTAGTTCTTACCCTTATTTTCACGGTTTTACTTTGCTTTGTACGAAAAATCATGGAGAACTAATTTCAATTGTTGATTTGTTGTATTCGGTTCCGACACCTTGAAGGTTATAATAATTTCAATTTAGTTTTTATTTCTTTCAATCTTATTATATGATTCTTGTTTGCTTAATCTAATTTTCATAGAGTATGTTGATTTAATTTGAGTGTTGTATGATCCTTAACCATAATCACGTTAGTGTTTGCTTAATTTGTTATCATGATTGATCAAATCGTGTTTGCTTAATTCACGAGGGCTTAATTTTATTTACTTAATTTGGACAATAGGAACCTACATCACACATACAAATTACGCTTGTCAATGAGTTTGTAATCGAATAGGAATAGATAATCTGTTAGGATATTGGAATTATATTAACCGATAATTGGTATGAACCAATCAGCAAATTAACTTTTCATCTTAATTGATGATCACTTTTATTTTCCACTATTTTTATTTTAATCGAAATTCAACCCCCCCATAAACTGTTACTATAGTTGGTTAAATTCAATACAAGAATCCTTGCGATACGATACTCGAGTTGTCGTTACCATAACTATACTTTTTCATAATACTCATTTTTTATCCGTGCGTGACAGCGGACCATGTACCTGCAAAATGCTCTGATGCTTAAGTAAGTACCGGAACTAGAGAGAACAAGTACATAAAGAAGGTGTGAAGAATAAATACATGAGCCTCTAGTGTAAGAGGGTATTTATAATGTGCCCCCAGGGCATGGCCAGCGATTACATTGCATTGGATCGGATTGTCAAGCCCAACACAAGTAACTGTCAGGGCTTACGTGGTGTAGTGAAGACCAGCACGTGGTTTTCGCCTTACATCAACTGCCTTGTGATATTCGGGAGGTGGGATGATCATCTCTTTAGGAAGTGGGTAGTTTCCTGATAACGTGTCCCTGCGTGGGGGGACACATGGAGAACATGGGGGAAAGTGCGTGGGCTTCCCCGTCAAGGGGTCTTCTGCCCGATGGATGTGCCTTGTTGAGATTCATGCCCGACAGAGGAAACTGGGCCTTGTTGGGCCCCATCATCGTAGCCTTAGGTTAGGCCTGCCCAGTTGATGGGCAGGTCTTGACCCAGTCTAGAACAGTAAGTATATTACGTTGTATAGTGGTAAGGTCTTGTCTGTGGTGGCGAGAAGTCTTGTACGATAGTGTTTTGTGGTAATTTTGAGGACATGCTCATGTGAGGTAAGAGTTTTTATATATGTGTTGGTTATTTGTGTGTAAGCATGTATGGGGTGTGGTTTGTAGTAGTTAAGATATGTTATTTCTCACGTCGAAGAGAGGTATTATTAGAGGCTATAGGACTAGGTTTTCTTAGGAATGGTCATCGCCCACCTAGTCAATGGTAGACAGTTAAATACCTATTTCTAAAGAGGATGTGGGTCAATTATTTACCCTAACTCCTCTTTGTCTCGTAAACGTCTTATTTCATGTTTCCTATAAGTGGGTGATAAGAGGCTTTGATAGGCGAGGTGATACCTCCCTATGTGATACATGATTGTCTCCCGCTTTATGGGCAACCTATAATCGTCATCCTAATCAAGTCTTTCACAAATAAAACATAATATAGTCCCTAAAGCACTAGGCCTTTGATAGAGGGCAAAATGTATTTTAGATCGTGGTACGTGGGAGCATCTCGGATACCTGAGTTTTATGATAATATGCGTGATGCACTAATCCTATTAGGCTCAGGGGCATTAAGGGAAATCATATTGTTTGGTATCGTCTGAGGGATTCTAATCCTGGTGAGGTTATAAGTCCCTCGAGCGAGGCGTTGAACCTCTCGAGCGGGACTTCTATCAAGCCTCTAACAAGACTTGTGACCATGTTTCTTAGGATAGACTTTGGTCGCACCTCTTGGGCATGATTTTTATGTAAGATCTCGCTCGAGGAAGCTATAAGTCCCTCGAGCGAGATTTTAGTAAGACTCAGGATTCTAAGTCCCTCAGGAGAAGTTATCCGTAGCCCATTTAATGAGACCTTAAGTCCTTTAAGCGAGACATTAGACCTCTCGGACAAAACTTCTATCAAGCCCACAAGTAAGACTTGTGACTAAGTCTATCAAGCTAAACTTCAGTCGCACCTTTTGGGTGTAATTTCTATGCCATATCATGTTGGAGGAAACTTTAAGTCCCTTCGGGTGTGTGTTTAGTCATCCTGGGGAATCTAAGTCTCTCAAGAGAAGTTATTTGTAGCCTGGATCATCAGATCATAAGCCCCTCATGTAAGACGTTGAACCTCTCGATTGGGACTTCTATCAAGCCCTCAAACAAGACTTGTGGCTAAGTCTCTTAAGCTAGACTTCGCTTGTATCTCTTGGGCGTGATTTTATGTTGGATCTCGCTCGAGGAAACTATGAGTTCACTAGGCGAGTTTTTAGTCAGACAGGGGATTCTAAGTCCTTCAGATGAGGCGTTGGACCTCTCGGGAAGATTTTTCATCAAGCCCTCAGACAAAACTTTTGACTAAGTCTCTTAGGTTAGACTTCGATCACACATTTTGGGCTTAATTTCTATGTCGCATTCCGCCTGAGGAAACTCTAAGTCCCTTGGGCGATATTTGAGTAAGCCTAAGGAATCTAATTCCCTCAGACAAAGTTATTTGTAGTCCGAATGATGAGACTATAAGTCCCTTAGGCGAGGCGTTGTACCTCTCGTGTGGGAACTCTATCAAGCCCTCAAACAAGACTCGTGACCAAGTCTTTTAGGCTAGACTTTGGTTGCACCTCTTGGGTGTGATTTCTATGTCGGATCCCGCTCGAAGAAATTATAAATCCCTCAGGCGAGAGTTTAGTCAGCCTAGTGAATTTAAGCCCATCAAACAAAGTTCTTTGTATCCCCACTAATGAGATTGTAAGTTCCTCAAGCGAGGCATTGAACCTCTCGGGCGAGACTTCTATCAAGTCCTCAGACAAGACTTCTGAGTCTCTTAAGCTAGACTTCGATCACACCTCTTAGGCGTGATTTCCATTTCGAACCCCACCCGAGGAAACTCTAAGTCCCTCAAGCGCGAATGTAGTCATCCAGGGGAATTTAAGTCCCTTAGATAAGACTTATGACTAAGTCTTTTAGGCTAGACTTCGGTCGCGCCTATTCGGCGTGATTTCAATGTCAGATCCCTTTTGAGTAAACTCTAAGTTAGGCATGGCAACATAACTCATGCTCGTAGGTACCTATCTGAGTTTGTCTTGAATTTGACGGGGAAAAGCAACTTTGATTGGGTTTGGGTTTAGATTTTCCCAGATTAAAAAATATGAAGACTAGTCGAATAATTGGGACATTAGTACCCACCCCAAACTCGTCCCTGGACCCATCTTGTTAATTTTATTATTTACTTGATAATTTAGAATATTGAATATGTGGTTAATGTTTATACATTTTAATTTGTATTTATTATTTAAAATATATGAAATGTATGCATGAAATTTTTTGAGATTTTATTATTTTATTATTTTTAATATAATTTGATTTTGAAAATATATTTTTTTTAGTAAAAAAATGATTTTACTAAATAAATGGTTGCGGGGTAGGGATACCCGAACCCATTTGAGACGGGTTTGGGTTTTAATTAAGGCGGGAAACAAAGATTGTTTTGGGATTCAGGTTTGAGTTTGGGGGAGGTAAAAATCGTATCCGACCTGCACCGCTGTCATTCATACTCTAAGTCCATCAGGAGAAAGTTTAGTCAACTTGGGGATTTTAAGTCCCTAAAGCGAAGTTATTTGTATCTCGATTGATGAGACCATAAGTCCTTCAGTTTAGGCGTCGGACCTCTCGGTGAGACTTCTGTCGAGCTCTCAAACAAGA